CAACTTGGAAGTCGCCAATCAGTCGAATGTTGTGGTGAAAATTTCACTGTGACGAGGCCCTCGCCACCCACCGCCGCCGATTCAAGGTTGGCGCGTCTCGCACTGAAACCATCGAGTCGCTGGTTGATTCGTTGAAGGAGCACACCATCACAACTGGCTCGTAAATGGATTTGACTTCCGGCAAAGCCGCGATCTTCTGGACGAGGTCGTCGGAGGCGTCGTCAATGTACAGTACATGGAACTGTCGATCCATGTCGCGACCACTCCACATTCGTCGATTCAACTTCGTTGTCGCCTGAGACTTGATGTAACTCGATGAAACCAAAAGCGACGACAAACCAGCCAGTGCTGTCAATGATGACATCGAATGGGGGGTCAAGATGATCCAAGCGCCGGCGCTGTGGGCCAATGACATCAAGGGCGAAGGCATTGTCGTGGCCAACATCGACTCCGGTGTTCACTATTCACACGAGTCGTTGGAGTCGAACTGGCGAAGTGAATACGGTTGATTCAACCCGTACAACAAGACGAAAGTGCCCAGTGACGCTGCAGGCCACGGCACTCACGTCATAGGCACTATGATGGGAACGAAAGGTATTGGTGTCGCCCCCAAGGCCAAGTGGATTGTGTGCAAAGGGTACGGTGACAAGTTGTGCAATCCAAGAATGGTGGTGCAATGCGGTCAATATTCCTGCTTTGTCCCCACAACAACGACGGCAACAAATGCGACCCCAGCAAGGCCCCTCATGTGATCAACATTAGCATTGGCAAGCACACCAAGAAGTTTTGGTTGGAAGTATGATTACAAAGTGGAGAGAACGGGAATCATTCCCGTGTTTCCGAACGGCTATGACGGCCTTCAAGGCTGTAGGTATTCAGATTACCCTGCCGGGTCCCCTCACGTGATTGCTGTTGGCTTCACTAACTCAGACGATTATTTGGCAATCCATTCAAGTTTGGGACCTTTCGGGAAGCATGGCAAACCCGACATTTCTGCTCCAGGTGTCCGCATCCGTTCCGCATATACCTTTAGTGACTTCAGAGACAATGGTTTTTCGACGAGATATGGCTCCAGCTACGCCGCGCCTCATGTTGCTGGAGCCATCGCCTTGTACTTGTCTGCTATCAAAGGCGCCTCGTACGACCAAGTGTACGCGGCCCTGACCGAGAATTTTGACACGAACACGATAACTCCATCCAACAAGACCTGCGGTTGCATTCTCAACACAAAATATCCCAACAACCTCTTTGGCTACGTGAACACAAGGCCGTGGCTGCTAGCATCCCCGGCCTGACGCTTCCCCCTCCATCCAAGTCCACCCAAGTTCTGAACCCGACCAATGATCTAAGCACGTGTGGCACCTTGGAAGTCAACACGAATTATATTGGCGGCGACTTGGCTTTGACCAATCAGGCCACTGCATCCTGCTGCGCTGAATGTAAAAAGACACCGGGATGCAAACTGTTTGTGTGGTATACCCTCGAGGGTGGCATGTGCCGGCTCAAAGGCACCCAAGGCCAAAAGGTGGCTGTGGACGGAGCCAAGGCTGGCGTGCTACCAGCCCCAGCCTTGGCACGACCGCCGTTGTTTTAGGCCAGCTATTAATACCATCGTCAACAAACTCACCGACAATAGTTTGACATTAACGCTGCTCTACTTGATATTTCTCAATATTTCGCTAAATATAGAGATAATTTGAATTGTGTTTTTCATGTAATTTGCTCGTTGTTTAACTGCGTTAAACAACAGACGTTTCAAATAATATATTTTCATATTATCAATGGGGGACTGCCAAAACCTCTTTACTACTAGTATTTGTGCTTTGCACAAATATTTTAATTCCAGCATTAAATTCATTGTATAAAATTTTCTCAGGCTTGAGTAACGTCTAAAGTAACTTGAATAACGGTTGGGTGCGTTGTTTATAGTTAGTACTTCATCTAATGCGATGATTGGTTGGTTGAAGGTGGTTTTACAGGCACTTTCGTAAAACAAGTTGCTTGCCGTTTTCATTCTGGCAATCAACTTGTTTTACGTCAAAACGTTAAGGTGCTTGCCACAATGAAACTGATGCAGCTATGGCCACATTCATGACCTCCCTCCCATCCGTGATCACTACAAACATTAACTACTCCGGGTAATTTATGACGTTAGGGGTATAGTTAGGCTAATCGGTCACTCTGTCCAATAATTCAAAGCTATGTCATACAACACTTGATCTGTACTAACGTTAGTACTGTACGTGTAAAGCAAGGGCAGACTACAACTACACGATATATAGTACTCCCATTTCACATCCTAATATGGTAACGTTAT